ATTACAACTTTTTGTTCCAATTTGTCGCAAAAAAAAGTGTTCAACGTGTACTTCAACACGTTTCTACTTGAATGATTTTCATTTTCATTACTTGGTAGTTAGTGTATACAAAATAGGGCTCGCTGATATATGAATTATATTTCATTTGCAAGTACTATAATAGATTCATTTATATTTACATAAAGGAAACGCGAAGACTTGTTTCGTTTTAATTGCTGTGCGGTTGCTATTCCCCTTTAGAGCTTTCTTTTTATGGTTTTATAATAAAAAAACGGAATTTTCTTTTTATACTTCAAACAACAATCTCAATCACGTTTCGTTTTATATGCACGGAGGACTTTTATTATTCGACTTGGAAGTAAAAATAATGCATAACAAGTTTGAGGTTGTCGTTCTTTGGCGAATAAAAGGTTATACAGGATTCAGTTCCGGCATCTCCGTTTTAGTTCTTTCAGAGCAGGGGGTCGTTGTCTTAGATTTTTGAGGAAACATTTATATCTCATCCCAGAAGTTTTACTTTTACTCTTTATCCACAGTTAAATTGGGATAAATTGTATGCAAATATTGAGGACTTTGTCAGTTATTTGGAATAATCAGCAGTTTGTAATGGTCGTAAAGTGCAAATAAGTAACTACTTAACCCTCAGGTTGTACGCTAACTTCACACTAGAAGAACTAGGAAATAAAGTCACCCCGGCAACGTTTAAACATTGCCACTACAAAACTAAACAGATGTCGCTTAAATTTGAAATCGAAAAATGGCACGTGATCAAATATTAAAGACAGGGCCCCCTTACGTTAGTTGTAAACAACGCCCTGACCCGCAGTACAGTACGGGAGGAACATAAAATAAAACACTGAAATCGTGAAAAGTTAAATAATTATTGCTAATATTATGAAGACTGTGAAAGCCCAGAAATTTGGATGATGTACAGGGTGTAAATCTAAAAGTGGCGATTAACATGGGAAATTACTTTTTCTTTGCGCAAACGTTTCCTAATTATTTTACGCAAAAATACTTCAAATAAAAGTTACAGAGATATAAATTCTGCATATAAATCATGTAGCCAACACGCTATAGAACGCAAATAAACAATGGTCGCTAAACTTAAAATAGAAACCATGAATTTCTCTCCAAATCTACAGTGTATAAAGTGACAAAATTAATTACTAAAGCTCACGAATTTAGTAGATTGCCTCATGAAAACAATCCAGCAATGTATTTCGTTAAGGACCCATTAACAGGGATGTAAATTCTATTAATCGAAATTCCGTTGTTTTCAAATTTAAGGGTAGCTTTGATTTCTTCATTGTTATAAAAAATTAGGAGTAGGTAAGAAAGAAACGTAGCCACGAACTAAAAAGTTTCACAAAAAGAGAGAAAATTGTAAGCGAAGTGGATTGTGGATTGAGATTTGTTTTATTCATCAATATATTTGTTATATATGTTTTATTTTTATTATATATATATTTACATATGCTCACTTACAGTCTATATCTATTTATTTATTTTATTAATCTCAAACCAACCAAGTATTAAGGAAATTCTCTTCCTCGGCTGTTTGCTATTGGTGTAATAAGCCCGGAGGCCATGTTCTGTGCAGTCTTCAGGTGATCTTCAGGCCATTGTGGAATGTTTGGTTGCTACCATGGACCGTTTGCAGTTACTGTTGTTGTTTTGGGTTGGAATCTTTGGATGATGATCGATGACGGTTTCGCACATCCTGCTCAGAGTTGGAAACAGTATCTGCTTAGGGGTTTTAGTACAGTTTTATGAAGTAATATATTGTTTTTCAGTGAGAATTTTGATTTTTTGCTTAGGATCCATTTCATTTGTGGTTGTGGTTATATTTAATTTTTTTCTTTTGGACTGGATGTGTTTTAACGTAATCATTAGTGTAGCATAGAATCCAATCGGAGGCGCTTAGTGGGGGTCATTGATTATGTACAGTCATTGGCAAAAGTAATGATCGCCATCCTGCAGCATACGCAACCAACATTTGAATATATTGTGCAACCTAGAAATGCGAACCAACAAATTAAGGTATCTCCTCCTTGAAGACACCTACAGAGCCCGATGGGACAGCCATGTAATTTGTATTATTAAAATGGGTAAATACGTACTTTAATTAAATTGAATTATTTCGAAGCATTGTATGTGCATGTCTATACAGGGCGGTTAGAAAATAATGGAACGAGGCACTTGTGCTGAAACGATTCGAGGTATTGATTTCAAGTTTGGAGGACTTCAATGAGACATTGCATGTTTCGGATTGAAAAAGAAACTTCTTCATTTCCCAATTTTGAGGGCAGCCGCCATCTTGAATTTTTTTTTGACAACGTGGGTCATGTGGCATATCATTGTAATTCGTCTTGATTTCTCGACCTTTCTTTGTTTTCGAAAATAAAAAAAAAATAAATTTAAAGGAACAAAGGCTCTCCTACCAAAATGGTTCAAAGTATTGATTTGCAGTCTGGAGGATTTTAAAGAAACATTGTTACGCATATTTCGGAATGAAAAATAAATTTAAATTACCCATGTTATCATTTAAAAAAAAATCAATGTGGCGAGCGCCCTCAAAATTCGGGTCATAAAGAAATTTCTTTTTCATTTCCAACCATGCATGCATAGGGGGATATTAGCTTTGAAGAAATCTAAGAAGTATATTACCAACAGTATACGTCAGTATAATTAAAAATCGATCAAAAGTAACTATAGCCATTATTAAACAAGCCCTAGCTATTTCTTGCTCGTTGGTTTTTTGTCAATGTTACCAAATTATTAATTTTTATCCGGTCACAGGACACCTCTTACAAAAATTGAAAAGCACACAAAATACTATAGAATAGACAAATAAAGTTCCATTTGAAAAAAAATAGTTATGGCACTTTAAAATGAAACTTTACTATTTTTTGTGAACATCCTGTATCACTAAATTCTACTTCCTCAGTACCAAAGTGTTGCCTTTTATTCAGATTCCCATTATTGATCAAATGTATTTCTTAACTTTAAAATCAAAGTCTATCACGCGATCATATAGCGAGCAATCAAAATTTATTTTATTGTTCAAACAGAAAGTACCCTTTTACAATAAATTATTAACTTTGGTTAATAAAATAGCGCTATCCGTACATAAATGAAGTTAGAAGCCGTGTAAAAACCTAAATTAACATAAAATAAAATTAAAGCAAGTAGTTATTGAAGTAAATTTTTAACCTAAACGAACTCAAGCTCAGCAATAAAAGAAAATAATTAATGCTCACGTCCATAAATTAGGACCTTGCTCTAATTTAACGAATTTAATATTAAATGATACAAAAATAAAAAAGGTACTTCTTAAATAAATGCAATAGGTACTTAACTTTTTTTTTTAATGAAAAAAACCTTGACTGTGGCTAACCTTGTAGTTGCTTTCGACGCCTATCGTTCCAATTATTTTTTGAGGCTGAAGTGAAGATCTGACGGATTACCAAGATGCTGGCTGCTAATTAGTTAAGAATGAAGACTGACTATCAAGATGCTGACTACTAATTGCTTTAGGGTGAAGACGGAGCTGGTACGTATTTAATTTCGTTTATCTTCTTTGTATTAATCAGGGTATTAATTAATTCCTTTCAGGGTTCCAAAATCCAGTAAAAAAACTAAAATGTTTTGACTTAGATAATTATGTATTTTTTGATTAAACTTACGGTACTAAAGACCTTTTTTTTTCCAAATCAATCGGTATGAATTCAATTTTTGTAACGTAACGAATTTTGAAAACATGTACTATCCGCTCAAGGCGTACGATTACAAGTGCATGTCCGATTTTGATAATAAATTTTGGTAATATTTTAAACATCTAAATTTAGCCAGCCTAATACATGCAGTGACATCTAACAGTGAACGTCATAACGTTACAAGTCGCTTACGATTTATCAAATTGGCGGTGGCTTATAGCATAGACCAGGTCTATGCTTATAGAGAATTATTCGGAAAAAAATTAATAATTTGGCAACATTTGCAAAAAAACAAATAATGAATAGGTTTCCAGGCAGAGGTTAAAAAATGACATCATATCAGCTAAAAATATACAAGGTGTTCCATTACAAAGTATTGACACCGTGGGACACCCTGTACATTCAAAAATAATTTCTGTAGATGCGCAATCATCTATAGTTGACATTTTCACAAAAGGTTGATATTTTTCCCAAGTAAGGAAGGCTAGGAAAGACCGACGCACTTTTGCAGGACCTTGTATAGTCTGTTTAGAGAGTCTTTCAAAAACCTCGCTCGTGATGAGTAGCAGACTAATGGGTCTACTCTCGTGGTGGCTTTTCATGATTATTTTCGGATATTTCCAGACTGTAGGGAGGTATACTTGCCAAAAAATGAGGAATTAAACTCAACAAATTTAAGTTTCACGTAAAAAAAGAGAAAAGAACAATTTTTTTCATTCGGTTACAAAAAAAATCATTTCATATAGGGCTAGCCGGAGGTCACTATAAAATTCTTGTTAAAAAATTCAAGTTCAGTTAATAAATTCAAGAATTTCATTCCAAAGAAGGAAGGTTGAAGCGAGGTAACTTTTTCAGGTTGGGTGGTACCCCAATAAATTTATTCCTGTGTTTTATTTTGTTTCAGCTCTTAGCCAAAGTGGCGTTGCAAGGAATTGTGTTTGAAGTTAAATCAAACATAAAAGATTTGTAAAGTTTTATATTGTACCAGAACAAACTCTTGAATGATACCTCCCAACAGCTGCGTGACTAATTGCATCACCAAAATGTGATGGGCGATGGGGTCGTCACATCCCGACGCCGGATCTGGGTTATTATCGTTGTAGCATAACTCCTTGTACCCGAAAACGTAGATTCCCGAATTCCCCCGTGATTTTTATTTCGCTATATTTGTGTACCTATAAACCACAAATGATCATTATCATTTTTGTATCTTCATGCGAAGCTATGTGGACGTCTAAGAAGTTCCGTATTGAGGAGGGGAAGTGAGTATCAGAAAAATTGTTTGAAGCGTGAGGATTATGTTTTATTTATTTTTCAAATAACATTTTAAGCTCTACAACTAATTCCCTTCTACTTTCTACATGCGATATTGATATGAATTACCCTTATTGTGTATTTAGATATTATAAATCCCCAGTTGCGATGAGCAACCGTTCACAATTCTCAAGAATTGTTTTTAATTTGAAGTCCCACGGACTTTATTTACCCCATTTTCTTTAATTAAGATATGATTCTTAAAAAATCATAAAATGCGAATAACTAATGAAACAATACAAAGCTATATAATAATTAACTAACTACAAGATGCCCCAACTAAAATCTACACCCCTGCTACATTATTTTCCGGAAAATTAACAAAGACATGTCAAATTTGCGTTGAAAGTGGCTCAAATTTAATTTCAATGGCACACAAAGGGCGTGATTTCCCTCGCGGCTTGGATTCAAGAGAAACTGGAAGTCTAGCATAGCTTCAAATCGAAAAGGTGGAAATAGTAGCCTTCGATACCCAGTGCATACACGCCTTTTTACAATGAAGGATACCAAATCGAATTTAGATCTGACGGGAGCTTTTGAAGGCGCTGGCAACTTAATTGGATCAGATTCATCCCTCTTCAATACAAATTTGACACGTTCGAGTATGTGTAAATTTTCTGGAAACTAGTTGACCTATGAAGCAAAAAAAGACGTATTGTAAAATAACGTATTTGTTAAAAGGAATTTGCAAGCAAATTGTTGATAACATCGCTGAAACTGTAATCAAATCCTGAGAAGGCGTGCTCAGTGTTCGAGGCATTTTGTTCTGTTTGATTGAAATATTTTTCGACCTCCTCGGCATTGAGACCGCCATCCCTGAAAAATCGTGTCGAATCATCGTACGTGGAATTAGAGGCCGCGGTGGTGGTCGAGGGGTTGACGCCGAAGCCCGTTTCCAAAAATAGTTTCGAATCGTTTTGGACAGCGGTGTTTCTTATTTCGGCCTTCTTGGTTCTCGGCTTGGGCTCGAATTGAACGTTCTCCTCGTGAACGGGAGCACAGCGACGATGGGTTTCGGCGTAGGCTTGTGCGACCTTTCTTGGAACCTTGCTACGTTTGCGTGCGTTTTCGTCTGCGCCGCCTTTTTCGAACCAGAAACGCATTTCGTTGTACACGTGAAGACGGAAAGGATTTCTGCGTCGGCTTGGCGCGTACGAGTTGTCAACGCCGGTTGTGGGTCCGTAGGGTACGATGGACATCGACGGAAGCATGCTTAACACGAGAGTGTTCCTGAAATGGGTATGGAATTGCGAATCGATCGTATCACGGTAAGTGCTCAACGTTGGCAAGTACTTTCCGTAGAATATGTGCGCGAGAGGATGAGGTGAGAAGTTCACCGGTCTACCGTCGTGTGGATAGAATTCTGGCGAAAAGAGGTATCTGAAATCATAACGGTAATCATCCTCGGGCTAGATTTTGTTCGCGAACCTTAGCTCGGCGTTAATAAGATAGCGGTTCGGTACTTGAAGAGCGCCGGGCACATTTTGCTTTTGGAACTCTTCCACCATCATTCGAAGCGAGACATCGTAAGACCTCAAGATGTCACTAGCAACCGGCACTACCTTAACGTTAAAATCCTGCGAACCAGAATTATTAGAAAATCGACGCATCGAAGTGGAACTTACCACCGGGATATATTTTCCGGTTACGTTTGCCGAAAGAGGTGTCAGTCGAATCTCTGGACTGGTCTCGAGGTTAAGCCAGTGAGTCGCATTCGATTTGTGGGTACAATGCAGTCCGAAACGCCGACAGACGCATAGAGGGGTTCGGTTGGATGATGAATAGTAGACCCAGTAACCCGTGTTGATTACGTAGGCGGTGGGCATTACAGCGTTCATTATCTCCAATATCTAAAACAGACAAGAGATTTAGAGTACAAGCACAAAGGTGCAAAAATTGAGTTTTCTTCCTCCCTCCTTCCAACAAGGGAAATTCCAAGCACCTGTATTGTCCTAAAAATGACTGCTACTCATATCATCAGAACCACTAAAGAAGAGTCTGATTCTAATATCAGTCAATATCCCTATGATTCTCATCTATACCATTGTATTCCATGTTGTGATGATACTCAAAAGGATCTTATTCCTTTTTCTGTACAAAAATAAAATTACCCATTTTTGAAATAATTAAAGAAACAAATATTCCATTCAAGATGCCGCACGGTTTATTTAATTGTAATTGAATAATACTTATTATGACCGTTAAGAGAGGGTTGAAGATTAGTACAGGGTGTTACTTCAATTTTGAAATATTATAGTTTTTTATAAGTAGGTAAGGTACTTAAAGTGGAACTTGCCATAGGTGTGCGTGGTTTTCTTTTGAGATTAATATGCAGGCTGTTTAGATAATATGGAATTTTCCACAGGTGTATGTAGTATTTTATATTTTAACAACTTGCAAGGAGTTTACTTTTAAATTTCAGGTACGATCATTGTTATCGGCTTGTGCGATGAGGCTGTTACATAACAATCTTAGTAGGGAATCCAATCCCGCAGCAAAATCTCAATCCCGGTATTTGCGGGATTGTTAGATGTTAATCCCGCGGGATCCCGGTATATGCGGGATCTCGCAAAACTTTAAATAAATTGGTAAATAAGCAATTCTGTGCGGTTAACTTCTGTATTAAAATAAATCGCTAATTATCACAACATTTAACAAAAAAGTACCTTCGGCCTAACTTTGAACTCAAAAAAACCTTACCTGTAAAGCACAGAAAGTCTTCTAAAGAAAGTGCCTCAAAAATCATAGTACATTTTTAACGAAAAAAGTTTAACAATTATTCAAAAAATAATTCGCCGTTATCAGTTTCATTAACAAAGTAAACAGAGTCGTCCCCTTGGTCGACAAATTACTCAATCCCGCAAATCCTTCGATTTATGTGCGGGATTAATCTCGCAAAAATGCTGCGGTATTTCGGGATCCCGCAATCCCGGTATTGCATTCCCTAGTTTCTAGTCTATAAATTTTGATTGAATAGTCTGATCGAAAAAGTACGAATTGTTTTGGATTGTACGCACGAAAATTAATAAGAAAAAGTGTTTTCCCGAGAAATTTTGGTGCAGTCGATTTTTGGTAAAAAAGGAAGGTTATACACTGCCTTTTTTGAGCCCGCAAAAAAAATTGTCTCAGATCGACCCGGAAAAAATTTTTCTTATAGAATGTGGCCTGTAGAATCCATAATTTCAAACAGTTCCAAGATTGGGCTACTAGTTCAAAAGTTACAGCCCTTTGAATTTTTCTTCGAAATTGGTTTCTAGTCTATAACTTTTGATTGAGAAGTCTGATCGAAAAAGTACGAATTGTTTTGGATTCTACGCACCAAAATTAATAAGAAAAAGTGTTTTCCCGAAAATTTTGGTGCAGTCGATTTTTGGTAAAAAAGGAAGGTTGTACACTGCCTTTTTTGAGGCCCTCAAAACAAATTGTCTCAGATCGACCCGGAAAAAAAATTTTCTTATAGAATGTGGCCTGTAGAATCCATAATTTCAAACAGTTCCAAGATTGGGCTACTAGTTCAAAAGTTACAGCCCTTTGAATTTTCTTTCGAAATTGGTTTCTAGTCTATAACTTTTGATTGAGAAGTCTGATCGAAAAAGTACGAATTGTTTTGGATTCTACGCACCAAAATTAATAAGAAAAAGTGTTTTCCCGAGAAATTTTGGTGCAGTCGATTTTTGGTAAAAAAGGAAGGTATACACTGCCTTTTTTGAGGCCCTCAAAAAAAATTGTCTCAGATCGACCCGGAAAAAAAATTTTCTTATAGAATGTGGCCTGTAGAATCCATAATTTCAAACAGTTCCAAGATTGGGCTACTAGTTCAAAAGTTACAGCCCTTTGAATTTTCTTTCGAAATTGGTTTCTAGTCTATAACTTTTGATTGAGAAGTCTGATCGAAAAAGTACGAATTGTTTTGGATTCTACGCACCAAAATTAATAAGAAAAAGTGTTTTCCCGAGAAATTTTGGTGCAGTCGATTTTTGGTAAAAAAGGAAGGTTATACACTGCCTTTTTTTGAGCCCCGAAAAAAAAATTGTCTCAGATCGACCCGGAAAAAAATTTTCTTATAGAATGTGGCCTGTAGAATCCATAATTTCAAACAGTTCCAAGATTGGGCTACTAGTTCAAAAGTTACAGCCCTTTGAATTTTCTTTCGAAATTGGTTTCTAGTCTATAACTTTTGATTGAGAAGTCTGATCGAAAAAGTACGAATTGTTTTGGATTCTACGCACCAAAATTAATAAGAAAAAGTGTTTTCCGAGAAATTTTGGTGCAGTCGATTTTTGGTAAAAAAGGAAGGTTATACACTGCCTTTTTTTGAGCCCCGAAAAAAAAATTGTCTCAGATCGACCCGGTAAAAAAATTTTCTTATAGAATGTGGCCTGTAGAATCCATAATTTCAAACAGTTCCAAGATTGGGCTACTAGTTCAAAAGTTACAGCCCTTTGAATTTTCTTTCGAAATTGGTTTCTAGTCTATAACTTTTGATTGAGAAGTCTGATCGAAAAAGTACGAATTGTTTTGGATTCTACGCACCAAAATTAATAAGAAAAAGTGTTTTCCCGAGAAATTTTGGTGCAGTCGATTTTTGGTAAAAAAGGAAGGTTATACACTGCCTTTTTTTGAGCCCCGAAAAAAAATTGTCTCAGATCGACCCGGAAAAAAATTTTCTTATAGAATGTGGCCTGTAGAATCCATAATTTCAAACAGTTCCAAGATTGGGCTACTAGTTCAAAAGTTACAGCCCTTTGAATTTTTTTTCGAAATTGGTTTCTAGTCTATAACTTTTGATTGAGAAGTCTGATCGAAAAAGTACGAATTGTTTTGGATTCTACGCACCAAAATTAATAAGAAAAAGTGTTTTCCCGAGAAATTTTGGTGCAGTCGATTTTTGGTAAAAAAGGAAGGTTATACACTGCCTTTTTTTGAGCCCCGAAAAAAAATTGTCTCAGATCGACCCGGAAAAAAATTTTCTTATAGAATGTGGCCTGTAGAATCCATAATTTCAAACAGTTCCAAGATTGGGCTACTAGTTCAAAAGTTAAAGCCCTTTGAATTTTCTTTCGAAATTGGTTTCTAGTCTATAACTTTTGATTGAGAAGCCTGATCGAAAAAGTACGAATTGTTTTGGATTCTACGCACCAAAATTAATTAAGTCATGCAAAGTTTCTTTTTATGTCGTTTAATAGATATAGGTTTCCCATTAGTGCAACAAGGAGTAATCCTTCCAAGCTACTTCGCGCTGACATAAAAGTTTAAGGAAATTCTTCACTTACTACCCATTTCGTCGCGGAAACGGTAAAACACATTGCGTGGATACAATGGAATTAAATCTTTTCCTCTTTCTATCCTCCACTGTTGCTTGGGTAGATAAATCCAAATCTACATTTATTCGCCAATTTATTATAGGCTATTGGCAATTGTCGCAGTTGCATTCTACCGCGTGTGCAAAAGAGACAACTGGAAAGTTTCCACAGCGGAATTAGACTGCAAATCCGAAATCGGCAATTCTTAGCGACGTCAAAAACACTCCACAGCTGCTAGAGTGACTTATCCGTTTTATTGGATTACGTATAAAGTTAACGTTACCGCTTTAATATAACCCCGTCGGGTCTTAAATGAAGAGCACGAACCTTTGGTGATTTGATTTACTATGCAAATTTTGGTTGTTTGCACTCCAGTTTATCCGATCGATGCCTGCACTAACCGTAAACCATTCCCGACCACCGATATCCGGTCTATTGCCGGCGTAATAAGTAAAGCCGTGTTGGTCGGATTTGCTCCAAAATATTATCAATGTGTTTAAGCAGCCAATTATCGTCGGAAAATTTAATTCAAACTCACCATTGCATGAAGTCATTTTCACAATCCAAATTTCAAAATCTATTGGGCGCTGGCCGGATATTAAAGTGGGAATCGTTACAATTCATTGCTTGGATATATTAGCTCAGCGACTATACGGAGTGATTGTATCAAAAGTAAGTATTTCCACAAAAGCTTTGGCAGATATTACTTTCTGAAAAAGAGTGGGGATTAACACGAGTTTGGTTTAATTTTAAACTAAAATAATATCACGTAGCTATCAGGGCTTTGTAATAATGTGGAGAAAAGTTCGTGTCAACCCCCAAATTTAAGTTCCTCTTTTTCTGTTTCAATTGGAAACTGTCAGATTTAATTTGGATTTATCGAGGTCACCCTTAACCTGGGAGTAGATACATCAGAGGATATACCAATTTTCTTTTATCGTTTGGGTGATCATAAGTGATTGATGACAGTTTGAATTTTCAGCAAACTCGGCAATACACCATTGAAGGTTCCCTACTATTTAATTCGGTTGAAACACGAAAAATAGATGCAAGGTGATCTGCCACGAGTAAGCGTTGACAACGCCACTTATTATAAATTGGAGAACCTAATGCCAAAAGTAGCAGCTGCCCCTCATCTGAGAAGCGTAGACGTAAATTCACCTTACGCACATTTTTAATGCCGAATTTAGATCTTGTTAGAATGCAATACAATTTAATCTTTTTGAAACGCGATCACGTTTAATAAACCTTGTAGATCCCCGATATTGTGAGATTATGCTCATACATATTCAAAGCAGAAGGGTAGGTCATACGCTTCGGAATATCCGTCGATTTACAAAACTGGAACTAGCGTAACTTATGACATGGCTTGTTCTCGCCCATTTTCGGCGCAATTAAAGCAAACTTTTTCCCGGCGACACTTTTCAGTAATGGAAGGCGCGCTGCAAATTGAATGGGAAAGGTGATATATAGTTTTTAATAAAATGCGAGCATTTTGCAAAAGTCAACTACCAATAAGTTAGACGGCGGTGTTAATTAAGTAAACTACCGACGCGGAGTAGAAAGTTGG